TTGAGAAAGGCTTTAACAGGCCGAAACGTTCACTTCCTTTCAAATTTTTCTGTGGATTTTCCGAATATATTTATGTATATAATAACATTATTAGAGGGGGGTACCACCTCTAGTTGGATTTGTAGGGACCCACGACCTCGAGGAGTCGAATATAGTTGAATATCAACTACCGTGCAGATATATATAATTTTTGTATTAAAACTCAGAAGGTAAACCAGTAGGCGGAAAATGAAGATCTTCAGACCTCACTCCACTGTAGTCACTGACAGGTAAGCACTAACGCGAGACATAATTGTTGACAAAGTTTGGTATCCACTGACCTTATGGAGATATTGAAATATTTATATACATGGATTTTTATATATTTTTTAAAAACTAAAGTTTTAAAGAATGCAAAACAGTTGAATTCTGTCAGTCTATTAAATAAGTTTTTTTTCACCCGTTTGAAAAGGGCAGAGGTTTTTTTATTCATAGTTTACAGGTCTTTGGTGATACTGTTTTTTTAAAGCCTATATATGCTAGGTGGTCAAAGTCCTCGGCTCACAACCGCGAGTCCCGAGTTTGGTTCCTAAAAACGACAGAGACAGTTGGGCACGTTTCCTTTAACCCGATGCTTCTGTTCATGTAGCGGTAAATAGATACCCAGATCTTGCCTACTGCTATGGATTGTACCATGGAAAAGGTGACTAGTTTGCCTAGGGAACCCTCAATAAACCTACGTATAGGCTTCCTGTCCCAGACAACCGGAAACCATACTAGTTTCCGGTTGTCTGGTAAATGGTAAATAGATTTACGGTAATATATTTACCAATACGTTAATGGTAAATACACTTTAGGTATATGGTTAAAACGATACAGTATCGACTCTATGGTCTCTGGAGTTTACGAAACTCGGTTGTATGGCCGACTTTATCCTGGGCCTACGTATTTTTTTGTTATAAGCTATAGAAAAGAATAATCAGGAAAAATACTTGTATTTTTACCATGTAATGAAATACAATTAATAATTCTGTTGGCTTTAAGAATTTGTCGAAAAGACACACACACACACACACACACACGTGTGTGTGTGTGTGTGTGTGTATATATATATATATATATATGTCTTTTCGACAAATCTGCGTTTCGTGATGCTCAGTGCTACATCGCTACTGTGTCGTTTTCTGACTTCCATTGATACTGTGTCCTTTTCTCGCTACTATTGATACTGTGCCGTTGCCTCGCTAAAAGGCACTTTTGACGGTTCTTGACAACATGAATCTTCAATGTTGTTCCAACAGGCGTAGTGCGTCCGCACCCTCCCTCTGCCGCCTCGACTCCCGGCAGGCAGAATCGGAGGGGGTTTCTCGTTACAAGTTACTCGGGGTCGTTACAAGTTCTTTATAAACCTTTGTTCAGGATTCTAGAGTTCGTTATAGACCTTTACACTAACTACTGCAGCTCATTATGCTAAATGGAATTTAGTCGTTTTTGGATACCAGGGGCTTTTGAAAGGGTGTTTTATAGGCCTCAAAACATCATAATTCCCTAGGCCTCAAAACATCATAATTCCCTAGGGCTCAGAATATCATTCTTCCCAGTACTCGAAACATATTCTTTCCCAATAATAAGCATATGGGTTATACATATTTTTTACTAGTATGATTACTGGCAAATCTGGAGACTATGTCTTCCCTAGAGTGACAACCTTTTATTAATAATATATTTATACGGTTTTGCGTTTTCGATGCAACGGAGGTGTTTGTAAACAAAATAACTTGTATTAATGCTGCCCCGCCAGGTGGCTCATGAATGAATGTATGTAATATATATCATGGAATTTTCCCGCCTGAAAAAAATGAAAGGTGTCATTTTTTGGTTGGGACGCATATGAGTTGGCCAGGTACTAGGGGAGAGGGTGCCTGGTGCAGCTGTCAGAGGCCAGGGAAGTCCAACTGGACGTGTGGGGTGAGAACGGACTTGCTGGACCTGTGGGGTGAGAGTGGACTTGTTGGTCTTGTTGGGTGAGAGTGGACTTGCTGGTCGTGATAATACTAATCTTTGATAATAACATTCAAATTCATTTTTTTTTATTCAGGTAAAATTTCATACGTAGATGATAGAGTTAGAAACATATTGTTGGATTTATAGATGGAGTTAGTACATGCAATACCTAAAGCCACTAATACTCATAGCGTTTCGGGGAAACATAGACAATTTTTATCAGACATAAGAACACAAGTATAACACGAAAAAGATCACAAACACAACACAATAACACAAGCACACACACACACACACACACACACACATACACACACACACACACACACACACACACACATACACAGATTAAACAACTTGTCATTCTACAAAGAACGTCGCATTTCGTATGCATTACATAAGGTCAAAAATTACAGTGATTGAACGCTTGCTAAGAAATTAATCTCCAGTCCAATAAAACCCATCCTGATCTTTCACTAATCTCATTAAAGCATTTGTCCGTACTTGTGTAAGATGTTAAAATTATTTACATTCTACAATCCCAAGGCTCATTAACCTTCCTGTATGTTGTTAATCTCAAGGTGTATTAAACACGAGGGTGAATTAATCTCGGTGTATTAATCTCAAGATTTTTAAATCTCAAGTGGTATTTATCACAAGGTGTATTAAACTAAAGGAATCACATCTAAACAATCTTATATCTTATATTGTATATTTTACCTTAATATACTTACTAATCTTCGTCAAGTTTTTTTACAGTGTACCTGTTAACATTTTTTAAATTTTACTAGAAATTACATACTTAATCTTACAAAAGGTAAGATTAAGGACCTGCTTGAAATGCTAATCGTGTTAGTGGCTTTACAAGAATGTAAAAACATCAATGCTATGTACTCACATAAACCCAATGTACCGTCTTGCATATATATAAATAAATTGAATGAACATTATAAACTTGAACAGGGGTAGAATAAACATTCTTGAAATTATTGACTTCAGGAAATAATGTAATTTTAAGCCAAGTCTTAAAAAGAAAGACATACAAAATAGGGCTAAAGTAAGAAGACACCTGTTGAAACGTGGAACAAATGTTAACTTCTTCTGCAACTGTAAATATATATGATAATACAACTTGTGTACCTTGACAACAGTTCCGTTTTCTGGCTGCCTTTTACACCATCTCGCTTTAAAATAATATTTTAGTCACTCTGGGATCTCTAAACTACGGTCCGTGGGTCACATCCTGCCTGCAACAATATTTTACCCACCATATATATATATATATATATATATATATATATATATATATATATATATATATATATATATATATATATATATATATATATATATATATGGGTATTGAAATGGAAGTGATTGTAGAAAGCCTATTGGTCCATATTTCTTGATGCTTCTATATTGGAGCGGAGTCTTGAGGTGGGTAGAATATAGTTGTGCATTAATTGACTGTTGATTGCTGGTGTTGACTTCTTAATGTGCAGTGCCTCGCAAACGTCATGCCGTCTGCTATCGCTGTATCTATCGATAGATACAGCGATAGCAGACGGCTTGACGTTTGCGAGGCACTGCACATTAAGAAGTCAACACCAGCAATCAACAGTCAATTAATGCACAACTATATATATATATATATATATATATATATATATATATATATATATATATATATATATATATATATATATATATATATATATATATATTGGTGTATACTGGCAGCAGGTTTTCTTTCAAACATGTTTCATTGAATATGACCGCATATTCTGTATTTATTATTTTCTGGTTTAGGGCTTCTATCCCTCTAACTATTTTCTTAGCATCAGGGCTTAATTGAAATAGGAGTTCTCCAAAACTCATTTTCGTACTTTTAAGGTGAAGAAAAGAAGTGATTTACTATAGAGTGTATTACACTTACTCGTATGGGCCAATAAGCCTTCTGCAGCCCCTATGTTTATCCCTTATGTATCCCCCCATGTTTTCACCTTCATTGTATTATCACCTGACCTAATGCGGGTATAAAATCAACTAGTATTGTAAGATCTGTTCACTTGAGAATGAACCATGGAGGTTCGAAACGTCGTGCAAATTATACAAATAAGTGTAATACACTCTATAGTAAATCACTTCTTTTCTTCACCTTAAAAGTACGAAAATGAGTTTTGGAGAACTCCTATTTCAATTAAGCCCTGATGCTAAGAAAATGGTTAGAGGGATAGAAGCCCTAAACCAGAAAATAATAAATACAGAATATGCGGTCATATTCAATGAAACATATATATATATATAATATATATATATATATATATATATTTATATATATATATATATATATATATATATAATGGATATAACAGTCACTATACAAGGCACTTGACATCTATGGTGAGTTACACACAAAAGCTGTCACATTCCTCAAGGTTTATTTTTGAATAATATTTTATTGTCTCAATCATCTTTACCTTTTCCTTCGGGCCTCATTCAACCTCTGCCCACACTCACCACCTTTACCCCCCCCCGACCATTGCCCATTTTTCCTGCCTAGCCTCCACCCCATTCCACCCCCTCTCCAACCCCCACAATCCCGCCAGTGTAGCCCTCCGGACCCCAACATCCACCCTCCGGACCCCAACATCATCCACCCCTCTCACGCTGGATGCCTGTTGGTCTGCCTGTGATGTACACATTCCTGCCTTTGATTCATGGCTGGAATATTCATACATTGCCTTCCATGTCCCCCCTCTCCCCTCCCAAACACACACACACACACACACACACACACACACATGCTTACACACGCCCACACATACACCCATACTCACACACACACGTATAAACATGGGATGGAACGGATGGGGCATGTATGGGGCATGTATGGATATGTCACGGATGGAAGTTTGAGACTCTGATGTGTCATAGAGATGTTAGAAAGGTTTCTTCTAGCGTAAGAGGTAGTGAGTAAATGGAATGACCTAAAGGAGCAGGTTGTAGAGGCAACCTCAGTCCACAATGTTAAAAGTAGGCATGGTAGGGAAATAGGTCAGGAGTCTTTGCATTAAACAGCCTGCGGCCAGAAAGGCGGGGATGTGGGTGGTGTATTGATAGGAGTGTGTAATATACAAGGCGGTTCTGGCCCAAGATGGAAATTTTCTGATGCATGTGATTGTAGGTGGGTATTTTGTGATGCGTGGGATTGTAGGTGGGTATTTTGTGATGCGTGGGATTGTAGGTGGGTATTTTGTGATGCGTGGGATTGTAGGTGGGTATTTTGTGATGCGTGGGATTGTAGGTGGGTATTTCTGATGCGTGTGATTGTAGGTGGGTATTTTGTGATGCGTGGGATTGTAGGTGGGTATTTTGTGATGCGTGGGATTGTAGGTGGGTATTTTGTGATGCGTGGGATTGTAGGTGGGTATTTTGTGATGCGTGGGATTGTAGGTGGGTATTTTGTGATGCGTGGGATTGTAGGTGGGTATTTTGTGATGCGTGGGATTGTAGGTGGGTATTTTGTGATGCGTGGGATTGTAGGTGGGTATTTTGTGATGCGTGGGATTGTAGGTGGGTATTTTGTGATGCGTGGGATTGTAGGTGGGTATTTTGTGATGCGTGGGATTGTAGGTGGGTATTTTGTGATGCGTGGGATTGTAGGTGGGTATTTTGTGATGCGTGGGATTGTAGGTGGGTATTTTGTGATGCGTGGGATTGTAGGTGGGTATTTTGTGATGCGTGGGATTGTAGGTGGGTATTTTGTGATGCGTGGGATTGTAGGTGGGTATTTTGTGATGCGTGGGATTGTAGGTGGGTATTTTCTGATGCGTGTGATTGTAGGTGGGTATTTTGTGATGCGTGGGATTGTAGGTGGGTATTTTGTGATGCGTGGGATTGTAGGTGGGTATTTTGTGATGCGTGGGATTGTAGGTGGGTATTTTGTGATGCGTGGGATTGTAGGTGGGTATTTTGTGATGCGTGGGATTGTAGGTGGGTATTTTGTGATGCGTGGGATTGTAGGTGGGTATTTTGTGATGCGTGGGATTGTAGGTGGGTATTTTGTGATGCGTGGGATTGTAGGTGGGTATTTTGTGATGCGTGGGATTGTAGGTGGGTATTTTGTGATGCGTGGGATTGTAGGTGGGTATTTTGTGATGCGTGGGATTGTAGGTGGGTATTTTGTGATGCGTGGGATTGTAGGTGGGTATTTTGTGATGCGTGGGATTGTAGGTGGGTATTTTGTGATGCGTGGGATTGTAGGTGGGTATTTTGTGATGCGTGGGATTGTAGGTGGGTATTTTGTGATGCGTGGGATTGTAGGTGGGTATTTTGTGATGCGTGGGATTGTAGGTGGGTATTTTGTGATGCGTGGGATTGTAGGTGGGTATTTTGTGATGCGTGGGATTGTAGGTGGGTATTTTGTGATGCGTGGGATTGTAGGTGGGTATTTTGTGATGCGTGGGATTGTAGGTTGGTATTTTGTGATGCGTGGGATTGTAGGTGGGTATTTTGTGATGCGTGGGATTGTAGGTGGGTATTTTGTGATGCGTGGGATTGTAGGTGGGTATTTTGTGATGCGTGGGATTGTAGGTGGGCATTTTGTGATGCGTGGGATTGTAGGTGGGTATTTTGTGATGCGTGGGATTGTAGGTGGGTATTTGTGATGCGTGGGATTGTAGGTGGGTATTTTGTGATGCGTGGGATTGTAGGTGGGTATTTTGTGATGCGTGGGATTGTAGGTGGGTATTTTGTGATGCGTGGGATTGTAGGTGGGTATTTTGTGATGCGTGGGATTGTAGGTGGGTATTTTGTGATGCGTGGGATTGTAGGTGGGTATTTTGTGATGCGTGGGATTGTAGGTGAATGTGTTTCGATGGGTCTGTGAGAGACTATTGGTATTTCTCAGTTAAAGTTTACACCAATAATAGGAGTAACTTGTGCATGAATATACAAATAGTGGGTATATTCATTTAGAGCCGTTCTCATTCCAGATATGCTGTAGTATGACGGCCAGTATACAAAGCCGGGGATAAGCTATGCTATCCGGGAGACAACAATGACGCGTCTGGGACGGAACCGTCATTTTAGAAGGAAGCAATACAAAGCGAGATGATTGAGCATAGGAAGTCGAGGTCAACTACCATCAGATGATTGATTGATTGATGAAGATTAAGCCACCCAAGAGGTGGCACGAGCATGAACAGCCCGTAATGCCATCAGATACCAGGGATCGAGTGAAATACTCTGATCGACACAAAGGGAATGAACCAATCAGGTTACAGGCCAATGTACAGGATACCCTTAGCTTGATGTATTGTTACTCAGCTTCGTTGAGTCTAGCAAGCAGCAGCAACATGGGCCATGAGTGCCAAGGATGCCTTGTCAGCTTGGCAGGTATGAGAGTCAGCTGTGTGGCCCTCTGTCTTGAGTCAACACAAGAGCTAAGAGAATTGACAGCTAGTTCCGCCTGTACTGAGTACTACCCCCCCCCCCCAATTATAACTATTGTCTAGCCGTGAACCCGAAATTGTTCATGGGGGGTTACGCTATATAATTCCTAGTCATTACCATAGCAAAAACCAGTCTAACCAGTCACGTGATCCCCCATTATGTACGGGGTGTGAGGACGTTGAAGGATTGTAACGATTGTGAGAGCTGCTGTGATTGTTCACTATCACGTGACCCCCACCCCATTTTCCCCCTCCCCCCTTACGAGTTGTGTGTGTGTGTTATTCATCTACGACCATCAGCCAGTGCGTAGAATTTCCAGAGGACACAGCATCGTTAACTTCGGTAATTTTCTTCCCTCTGTGGTACGGGGAACAGCGGGCAGTTGAGGCGCTAATTACTGTAGTGTTAAAGCCACGTGCGGTGGCATGGGGGATAGTGTGAATCAGATATCGCGTGCTGTTGTGGGACAGGCTGTTGTGGTTCTCAGGGTTGTGGGACAGGCTGTTGTAGTTCTCTGTGTTGTGGGACAGGCTGTTGTGGTTCTCTGTGTTGTGGGACAGGCTGTTGTGGTTGTCTGTGTTGTGGGACAGGCTGTTGTAGTTCTCTGTGTTGTGGGACAGGCTGTTGTGGTTCTCTGTGTTGTGGGACAGGCTGTTGTGGTTGTCTGTGTTGTGGGACAGGCTGTTGTAGTTCTCTGTGTTGTGGGACAGGCTGTTGTAGTTCTCTGTGTTGTGGGACAGGCTGTTGTGGTTCTCTGTGTTGTGGGACAGGCTGTTGTGGCTCTCCCTGTTGTGGGACAGGCTGTTGTGGCTCTCCCTGTTGTGGGACAGTCTGTTGTGGTTCTCTGTGTTGTGGGACAGTCTGTTGTGGTTCTCAGGGTTGTGGGACAGGCTGTTGGGGTTCTTCCTGTTGTGGGACAGACTGTTGGGGTTCTCAGGGTTGTGGGACAGGCTGTTGGGGTTCTCCCTGTTGTGGGACAGGCTGTTGGGGTTCTCAGGGTTGTGGGACAGGCTGTTGGGGTTCTTCCTGTTGTGGGACAGACTGTTGTGGCACTGTTGTGACACTGGGAAGCTGGAGCGAGGTACAGGCGCCAACTTGCTTACATAAGGAAACTATACATATGACCGAAGGTCCGAACAAAGTAAACCAGAGTTTTAAATGGTCGTTTGGTGCCGAAATTTAAGTTGCTCTATAGCAAACGAAGTTTTCAATTACAAAATAACATATCTTCCCAATTTAACCCGGCTATTAAAAATTTACGAAATGGAAAGAGCTCTCACTGGGCTCAAAACCTGATTTGGAGTATAATTTTTTTTTTGCATGTAGAAAAAATGGGCACAATCGTGATGGACCAAAAAAAATCAGTTAATGACGATATATTTTATATATTAAGACTTTGGCAATTATACCGTGACCCAATGTGAGCTTACCTTGAGGTTACTTTGAGGTGCTTCCGGGGCTTAGCGTCCCCGCGGCCCGGTCGTCGACCAGGCCTCCTGGTTGCCGGACTGATCAACCAGGCTGTTGGACGCGGCTGCTCGCAGCCTGACGTTACAGCTTGGTGTAATAATTATATCAGCGTTATTGTTATATGTTGTGTGTGTGGCTGGCTGGCTGGCTGGCTGGCTGGCTGGCTGGTTCGTTCCTCCGTGCTGGAATGTAATGCTTTATACTGGAGAGATGCCAACTGTGTTCGGCTTTGGCAGATCAGATGAACGGCAACGTAACATTTCGTCCTTGCGTTAAAAATGTAGAAATGTGTGTGTGTGTGTGTGTGTGTGTGTGTGTGTGTGTGTGTGTGTGTGTGTGTGTGTGTGTGTGAGGGGGTAGAAAGGGAATGGGAGTGTGCCAAGAGGGCCAGATATCAAATTAATGCTGTAGGCCCAGACACCAAGAGACACGCTGGCTGGCAAGACAGACACACACACACACACACACACACACACACACACACACACACACACACACACACACACACACACACACACACACACACACACAGTTCGTGTATAAACTTCGAACATACTCGCCTTTTGATAAGTGAATTCTTCACTAAATATTTCTTAGCTATCCAGACTGAAGAGCAAAATTTTAAAATGTCACTGGCATCTTATTCTCTGTGGACCTAAAAGACTCCCTTAACTCTCGCTCGTAAAAGGTCGTCCACTTCATCAATTCTCTTTTAAGGTGAAACACGGTATTTAAGGAATTAATTAAAAATAGGGAACTGTTTCGTTAAATTGTTGCACGTTTTTAAATATAAATTAGAATGTTTGTCTGGCTATCCGAGAATGGATGCAAGATGTTTTTGAGGCTACCGTTTCCAAACTTTGCACATTGATTGCTGTGAGGCCGGTGCCAAACATAGTCGAGATTAGTAGATACACAACTTGGCATTATGTCCTACTGCGAAAATATTTTGCTTTATAGTCCTTTATTTTGCATTTAATAAATGTAATTATAATTTTTATTTCTATATGAATCAGTATTTTACTAATTCAGAGATATGACAGCACTTTGTATGGAAACTGCCGGATTCAGACCACTCCTCCCAAGCGGCAAATTAACTTTTCTATTCACTCACAGTCGACTTGAGAATGGTCCAGGACGGACCGAAACGTCGTCGTCCCTGCACTTTCTAGTGTGTGGTCTGGTCAACTCACTTTTCTAGCATCATCTAGAGAAGTGAGTTAACTTTAGATTTGCAGCCTTGTGCTTCTCTATGCAGAGACTCGGCCAGAAGGCGAGTCTTACAAACTGAAACAAAGATCAGCTCCGCTTCCAGTCACTCTGATCTTATCTCGGAAATCAAGCTAGATTAGAATGTTTCAGGTGTTTCACAACAAAATGTATATAATTGGGACTAGTATTATATCCAGCAGAGAGCATCAACGAGATATTTTGGATAGGTAATTCAATTGGCGTAAAATTAGAATTTATCCTGTAATTATATTTATATACAATACTCGCACACAACTAGAAGTTGTAATTACGCTACGACCTCCGATAACACCAGAGTTGTAGCTCAAATCAGTGCACGTATTAGTAGACCACTCAGTATACGTACATACACACATGTACGTGATGGACAGCGTGACACATGTTACGTGGATAACGAGGTAACTCGTATCTCGTTATCCACGAGATAAGAGGTTGTCTAGTAACCTCTGAGATAAGCATGTAGGGAGGTCACGGTAGGAATCTAAAGCAAGCCAATAGTGGTATACTGGCTAGACTAATCCCTGTATGTTATTAGTCACTGATTTATAATATCTTTTAACTATCAAAGTAACGTGTTGGTAGGCAAGCTTTCACCAAAATGTGATAAGGCGTTCGAATTGCTTTCGAACCACGTATCGCACCGTGGTTCAGCCACGTATCGCACCTGTTTTTTGGTTATTTTTTCGTGAGGGAGGGACTTGTAGAGAAGCTGAATGGGACGTTTGTATTTAGTGATTATTGTAAAATACTCAGAGATAAATCACATCTCTTGTGATGTTGAGGCTGGAATGTGCAGCATCAGATCAAGCACGTTAAGTCAGATTCACACTATATGTGAATGTGATTCATCAGATTCACTATATGTGATTCATCAGATGTAAACTAGAACTACAACCACTAGCCTCCGTAGACAAGTTAGTGTTCTACCATATTTTGTTACTACATTTTTCACATGTATTGCGATGAAGAAATTTTCACCACTTGTTCACTCCTAACATAGTTAATGGTGGGTTGTATAGCAGCGTTTTCTTCTCTAGACTTATTACAAAACGGTATATTAGTTGATAATTAAAATACTCATCACGTAGGATTTATCTGGGACAACAATAACTTCTCATCGACGTCATCAAGATTATATTAGCTTTAAGGATATCATTGATTTATATCTTTCTTGTCTTCTAAAAGGTCCTGTGTACAATCATCCACAAAGGGACTAGCCTTTGGTGCTAGCTGGCAGTGTTTCACCGTCAGAAATCCCGTTACTGTGATTTCTCTGTGTATTGAAAGAGGAGCGTCAGAAGTGAAATTCCTGGACGTCAGAAGCCAGAGTGCATGGAGGGGGGATTGTGTGAAACCCTGGTTTAGCTTCAGTAGAAGCCAATCCTCGTGGGTTCAGAAGAACCCCCAGGTTACAATTCTTTTGACCATATCGTGGCCTAGTTGTCTAGAGCATGTGTCTGAGAATACCCTGCGCATAGATTCGAATCCTCATGACGGCTCCTGTGGATTTTCTCATTGGCATATCATGTTACTGTGATATATTTGTGCACTATTATTATCAGTATCACTTTCAGAAGTCGTCGCAGTATTGGGTGCCATAATATTAGTTTCAGTAGCTTAGCAATAACTCTGAATAAAATATGAATAATTATGATAGCCGAAGCTGTAGTATGGCTTTAAGACATGAGCCTTTAGATACTTTTGCATACATTATACAACCTGAAACAGCATACATTCGATCCCTCCCCTACGATACAGGGAAGTGTAGGAGAGATGGCGAGCCAGATGTGCTATCTCTGGTCCAGGAGAATAGGAGGGAAGGGAGGGGAGGAAGAACGATGGAAATGAGAAAAAATGGGGAAAAACTGAAACACAGAAGTTTCACTTTATTGTTTTATTTCTTAGTTTCTTGCCTCTTGAGAAAATAGTGACACGTGCTAGCAGTAGAGAGAAGAGGAAGAGTGTATAGCATTCAGCATGTTGGTTTACTTCACGAGGGACTTGTTGCACACGACTGATGGTGGTTGATGAGGTTCTTTTGCAGGTGGGAGACGTGGTCCAGCATCCTGCTAGTTGGGTAGAGATGATGCAGCATCCCACAGACTGTTCTGGGAGTGCACGATTCAGTATTGCTCATATTTCAGCTGCTCCAAAAATGAATAGAGCATAAATTATATATATATATATATATATATATATATATATATATATATATATATATATATATAAGGCTTTGTTCTCTTTGTGTTTGCTTGGCAAGGGGGGAGGGGAGGGTCGACTCGGGAGGGGGCAAAAAGGAATGTAGATGGGAATATGTTGGGGGGGGGCGGGGGCGGGCGGGGGGTAGTGGGTGTGTTGAGGGGTGTGTGAACATCTGTATGAAAAACAGTCTGAATACTGACTAACAGTCGACTTAAATAACAACAGTGTTCACATATGTTCATAATCTTTAAATCTAATAATATGTTATGTTCTACAACTGATTATGAGTCAATGAACTGCGTATAAATAAGGTACCATGTGCCTATTTTATTTAAAAAAAAAAATGAGTTTGAAATGTATTAATAAACCTTCAACATTTTTGTCAAAAATAATACGAAAATTGAGAAGCAAATGTATGAGGTGTTGTCTATACTGCATTTTAACATTTCTTCTTGACATCTTAGGAAGCAAAGCGTGTTGTACAGCATCTGTTAGCTGTTGCTACTTTTGTTGGTACGTATCGGAATCATCCTGTATATATATATATATATATATATATATATATATATATATATATATATATATATATATATATATATATATATATATATATATATATATATATAGATATATATTGTAAATGTGATGACGCCAGATGTCACTGTCGTCAGTGTATGATACTGAAGGACCTCATAATGCCCTCAACATTCTCAGTTGGTCGAGACCTTTCTCGTCTCTTCTTCTTCCAGAAGACACATATCTGCGATCTTGCGATAATTTAAGAACACATAATTTAATTTCTTTGCTACTTTCTCGTGAATTTTCCTGATATTATTTAAATATAATTCTTATGCATGTTTTCCTTATGGCCCATCACCTGTTAAGTAGCGTTAGTACTGTAACATACCTGTAAGGAGGTGTGTTAGAGCATGTGGCTCACGAACGATTTATCCTGGCTTCGAATCCCGGACATATTGAGTGAGATATACAGACATTGGTGAGGATAAAACCAGTAACAAGAGTTAAATACCCTGGAAACACAAACCGAAACTGTCTCTATTTTCCGCTTGTTACAACTTGTAATAAAGTTGTTACATCTTGGCTTAACGTGTTTATGATGGATTAGAACGTTGTTACAACTTGCTATATTGGTTGTTATAACTGGTTAGGAGGTGTTAAAACTTGCTCGAACGTTGTACCAACGTCGTAGTTTCGGTGTGTGTTTGGCGGGTATATACCGTGTATAGCGTTCGGTTAAAGATATAATGTCGGGCTCATTTGGTAATAGTGCTCAATACAGTGAAACTAAGGTCAGTCGTTACGCTGAAAGGTGTAATACAATATTCAGCCACAGTTGCGACCCTGCTTCCCTCCACCCTGCTCAGATATTCATTGATCTACCAACTCCAGCGATGACCGAGCAAAAGTTCACGTTTCGATCGAACTGGTGCGGACTGAATGATGCCAACGCTGCTCTTTGAAAAGTTCATCTCGTTGACCCGACGCGCATCAAAGATCAATTCGCTGAGATGACTGGTGTCATGTCAAGCCGACTTGGCGTTTTAATTGGCTGAGAATTTTGTCTGGAGACAGTATAGACTTGAGGTGATATAAGGCGGACATAAATAGCAGTGAGAAACGTATATAATTCCTCCCACGTCTCCTTCGATTTTCTTAATACAAGATTTTATTGTCGCAACGCATATAAGAATTATATCATGACTAACGGTAGCGTCTTAGAGGCAAGCATTATATATAACTCGCACTAGGATTATAACAGATCAAGCTTGTTCATAGTACCACAAAGTACACTGTAGATGCTCTTTCTAGTCTGAAGCTGCCTCGGGTCGCACGGTACATTGGAAGACCTTAAAACATGGTAGAGGTACATCACGCTGCCACCACCACTGCCTCTCACTTACGATGTGCTTCGCGCTTATTCACGTCCCTTCTGCTTGCTGGTGAAGAAACGATGTTCCTAGAGGCTTGTTCGCCATATACAAGACGAGTAACTAAGAGCTATTACAGTTGCCAGAAATATACCATAAGGTACCCTTATGCTGTCCCCATTATCGTGGACTAATATATATAATATATATATATATAATATATATATATAATATATATATATATATATATATATATATTTACATATATCATGTGTATATATGTATATATATAATTTTTGTTTTGTTTTGCTACAACTACTGGTCTGAAGGGTTGAATTAGAGGACAGTCCCCAGAGAACTGACTGGAATGGGTGCTACGACTGTGAGAAATGTTACAGCTTCAGGCCACGTTTCGTGAAGCTGTCAGCTGTGAGGTTCCAATGGAGTCAGAGGCGAGGCCAGGGCGGGATGGTGAGGCGCAGGTGCGCTGTTGCCCCCAACAGCAGCAGCAGCAGGAGGAGGAGAACAACCACAGGAGGCGCACCGGCGCACGCGCTGCCTCCGTCGTGCGCTGGGTAGTGCGGAAGTTGGTCGTGGTGCGTCGCCGGCTCCCCCGTCTCTGGAAATCACCAATTACATAGTTAGAATCACCAATTACATTACAGAGCCTGGGAAAGTACATGTTGGTTACATAGAGCGCACATGTTTTTAATTTTTTTTTAGGAATTTAATTAGATTTATTTTAAGTACTTCAAGTACTTTTAATTTTTTGTTTAATTTTTAATTTATATTTACAAGAGTTCTTACATTCTTGAAAGCCATTAGCACGCATAGCGTTTCGGGCAGGTCCTTGATTCAAATTTTTCCCGGGAGTACGACCCGCCAAAATCGGTTTAACAACCAGTTACCCATTTTGGGTGAACAAAAGCTACATTTAGCGATTGGCGTCCAGTCAATCCTCCCCGGCCAGGATACGAACCCAGACCAAAGCGCTCGCGAAGCGCTGGGCGAGTGCTTTACCAACTACGCCACTCGGACTGTCAAATTTATGTTCCGCCAGGAACTGCCAGGGACGTGTGGACTTATTATGTGGACTGCCAGGAATTTATTTGCTTAAAAAGGTTTGGAATTTTACTCTGTCTAAGCTTTTACTGGCCTTTTTTTGAATGGGAAAAGTAACATACTTTTTTAATAAATACAAAATTAAGCACGTGAACAAAAGTGTCAGGGATGTTTTTCAGTGCAAAGTTTTCATCAAGGAAGGAAATATTTCTACCTTAATGCCGCCGAAATTTACAAAAGAGCTGCAGAATAAAAGATTTGTGTATCTGTTGTCCCCCCCCCTCTCTCTCTCTCTCTCTCTCTCTCTCTCTCTCTCTCTCTCTCTCTCTCTCTCTCTCTCTCTCTCTCTCTCTCTCTCTCTCGGGTTTAAAGCCCTGAACGAATTGTATGATGTACTTTAGGGAGGAATGACTGAATTGCTTGTTTTTATTCCACGAAGAAATAATTTAGGGACCTACATTCTCTCTCTCAGTGTGTATAGTCTCTCTCAGGGGTGAATAAATGTATTGTTTAATCTCTCCAAACTATAAACGTATTGTATAATCCCCCTATGGGAGGAATTGTGAACCGTATTGTATAGTATCTCAGGAGAATAACTGAACGTATTGCATACTCTCTCTGGGAGGAATAGCCAAACATATTGTATAATCTCTCAGGAAGGAATAACTAAACGAAATAACCACAATAAAACGCTGGGCTAGAACACAAAATAGTTTACAAAGACAATTTTATATGATATTTAGTGTGGTTGCGAACACTAATGTAACACATACATAAAGGTGTGCAAGAGAATGACAGTTTACATGACGTGGTCACTAATACCTCTGAGCTTCAATAGTAGTCAGGGGAAAGTCAAACATTTCAGTTTGACAGCAGGTTGCTGCTTCTGGAAAAATGTTTCCTTTTTAATACTACTCACAGCCCAGTCGATAAAGCTTTAGCCACACACGCGTAGGGTCCAGGGTTCGAGACCCATACATCCCAGGTGAATGAAAAGAGAATATATATATATATATATATATATATATATATATATATATATATATATATATATATATATGTATATATATATATATATATATATATATATATATATATATATATATATATATATATATAATACCTCTGAGTATATATATATATATATATATATATATATATATATATATATATATATATATATATATATATATATATATATATATATATATATATATATATATATATATACATATATTCTACACACAGACAATGCGTCAAAGTTGACTGTAAAATGAACCATAGATGTTGTTGTTGTTTAAGATTCGCCACCTGGAACAAAAAGCTCCAAGCAGCACGGGCTATGGTGAGCCCGTAGTAAGTCCAACCATAGATCATAGAAGGTGATCAATCCGACTCTCAGGGAGACAGAGAACACACAATGTGGTGATGTTCGTTTACTTGGCAGGAGACAATAAGTTTTAACATTAATAAAGAAATTAATACAATAGATATTAACTGATAAAAGATTTACGGGTCAACTCGTACACACAGGCGTTTCGTACTGATAATTTTCTAACTAAAAAAGGAGCATGTATAGTTTGATTATCGGTTAAGTTCAGTTAGGTCAGGTTTAATTAAGTTAGGGTTGGGTTAGGTCTGATTATTTTAGGTTATACAAGTTTTAATATCCATTAGCAAACCGTATTGTGTACGAAATTATCTTTATCCAAATAAGAACAATTCAGTTCGTAACTCTGTAACTCTGTAGCCTTTGTAACTCTGACAACAGAAGACAGATGAACATAGTAGTGGAGTCAGTGTGCTATTATAGTGTCTTAGTGGGTAACGAAATACGGAACGCTACGTGAAAGCAGCAAGGAAGTGCTTCAGGAGTCAGAATAGATTACAGAACAAGGCAAAACCAAACCATCTAAGCCTTAATGTATGCAATATCATATATAAAACAGTCGACAAAGGATTTGTTGTATTAAAACCTGCCTAATTTAACGCTATCGAACCTTATCATACCCAAACTTGCCTGAGAACTTAGCACCATCAAGTTAGCCTATCCTAACCTAGCCTAACCTAACCTACCGTACAATTATAGGTTAGGAAAATGAGCTCTGTGCAAGACAGCCGATATGAGCCTGGTCGTACTGGAGAATCAATGATATGTTACAGAACCATTGTCGTAAATGGATAGTAAATGGGACGCAAATGGGTAGTAAATGGGACGCAAATGGATAATAAATGAGACGTAAATGCGTCGCAAACTGAGGCCTGGAGAGATATTCTATTAATATGTACTCTGCGTACAATGAATTTGACTCAACAGACTGAGAATACAAAAGAAAAAATAAAACATGACAAAAACAGCTGTACAACAACGTTGAATTAACAAATTATATATATATATATATATGTCGTACCTAGTAGCCAGAATGCACTTCTCAGCCTACTATGCAAGGCCCGATTTGCCGAATAAGCCAAGTTTTCATGAATTAATGTTTTTTCGACTACCTAACCTACCTAACCTAACCTAACCTAACTTTTTCTGATACCAAACCTAACCTAACCTATAAAGATAGATTAGGTTAGGTTAGGTAGGGTTGGTTAGGTTCGGTCATATATCTGCGTTAATTTTAACTCCAATAAAGAAAAATTTACCTCATACATAATGAAATGGGTAGCTTTATCATTTCAAAAGAAAAAAATTAGAGAAAATATATTAATTCATGAAAACTGGGCTTATTAGGCAAATCGGGCCTTGCATAGTAGGCTGAGAAGTGCGTTCTGGCTACTAGGTACGACATATATATATATATATATATATATATATATATATATATATATATATATATATATATATATATATAATGTCGTACCTAGTAGCCAGAACTCACATTTTGGCCTACTATTCAAGGCCCGATTTGCCTAATAAGCCAAGTTTTCCTGAAATAACATATTTTTTCTAATTTTTTTCTTATGAAATGATAAAGCTACCCATTTCATTATGTATGAGGTCACTTTTTTTTTATTGGAGTTAAAATTAACGTAGATATATGACCGAACCTAACCAACCCTACCTAACCTAACCTAACCTATCTTTATAGGTTAGGTTTGGTTAGGTAGCCGAAAAAGTTAGGTTAGGTTAGGTTAGGTAGGTTAGGTAGTCGAAAAACAATTAATTCATGAAAACTTGGCTTATTAGGCAAATCGGGCCTTGCATAGTAGGCTGATAAGTGCGTTCTGGCTACTAGGTACGACATATATATATATATATATATATATATATATATATATATATATATATATATATATATATATATATATATATATATATATATATATATACATATATATTGCTTGTTTTGATTATGGATATTTCCTATTCATTATTCGTAAGAAATTTATCATAACATTTACCAGATTTTGATTGTGTGACCTTTTATCGCTGGCGGGTGAAACTTTAAGAACTAGAGCAACAATATAGAGTAAACACACGTGTGTGAATTATATTTCGAATATTACTTTTCCATACCAAAAAAATAATTAACATCTTCAATTCCTGTTTTTTTGTTTACCTCAATAGTATTGTACAACAAGGGTTGGTCAAGTGCAGTTAGAAACATACATTATTTGTTGTTATTGTAACTAAGGGTAAGGAATCTCTGTTTAACATAATGTAAAGTTGTTTCTGTGCATTCACTTGGGTTCTAGGAGATTCGAACCGTAGACCCCCATGTGTGTGTGCGAGGCAGAAGCTCTATGGACCTATTTTTATATGTTTCTAAGCACTTCTTCCGTCGCCAAATAAAAAATTAGGACCATGAATTCGTGGATCGATTATATATTCGATTGCTATTTGCTCTGTCACTCTTACAGCCACGTCAGGATATCAACATCATGGGTTCCATTCGTTATCTTTTCGAGCCATTTAAACGAAATCCTTTTTTATATTATCCATACGTTAACCATCCTGAGAAGGATTTTTGTATTACAAAATCATTGTAGCAGGACGAGCATCGAACCAGCGTCCAGGTAAACCCCCAGACTCACGGCTGGTTCCATGTAACACTTGGGACTGACTATGGGAGCCGGTCGGCCGAGCGGACAGCACACTGGACTTGTGATCCTGTGGTCCCGGGTTCGATCCCGGGCGCCGGCGAGAAACAATGGGCAGAGTTTCTTTCACCCTATGCCCCTGTTACCTAGCAGTAAAATAGGTACCTGGGTGTTAGTCAGCTGTCACGGGCTGCTTCCTGGGGGTGGAGGCCTGGTCGCGGACCGGGCCGCGGGGACACTAAAAAAAAAAAAAAAAACCCCGAAATCATCTCGAGATAACCTCAAGATAACCATTTTTGTACATCCCCATTCCCAGTGTCTCCGAGCGGACTCCAGGCTGTGTAATCGCTAGCATATATCGGGTTCCACGGGCTAAAACATTTCTCTAGATGTAACTCCTGCATTCAAAAGTCTTATAACTACTCTAAGTCTTGGAGTAAATGACCAATCAAGTAGACGTAATGAGCCTCCATAATGCTTGAAATGACTGAGTTACAGCCCCGCTCCTGTGCCAGGTAAGTCCACTACGGGCTCGCCATAGACCGTGCTACTTGGAACATGGTGTTCCCAGTATCTGAATCCTAAAACAATAACTTGACATGATAACCTGAGCAGCGGCCTCGCTCTGGGATGCGAGGGAAGAGTAAAGAAAATGAAATTAGTTAAAAAAGAGTTTAGTCACTAATTTCAGCTTCACAAATCATTATACACTCTCGTTGCCTTCAAGGTAACGAGCCTCGGTGAGTGAATACCTGGCAAGAGTGCTGCGTTACCTTCCTGCCCGTAAGTCTTGCGCCGTTGCTGCTGATCCACAACGTCGTTTATCCCCTTCGGGAGTAGAAAATTCTGGTACTTCTTGCGCTCTGTTGAGTGATTCGAGATCAGAGTGAAGAAGTAGATTCGATGTACAGAATAGAAAGAAAATAACATTAACGTGAGTGGGATTGTCTTCTTTTGTATCTACAGGTTATAACACAATTAAAAATTTATTGCACAATGGATTTATTTAGGTATTTATTCTCGGGATATGAAGGTCAATTATTTACGAGAACTACCTAACGTATTTATATATATTTTACATAAGTTTATTATAAAGTTTAAGGAGGATTTTATATAGTTTTACTTGCGTATGATATTGATGATCAGATGATGATTTGTCATCAATAAACTCCGTCTATTAAAATCTCCGATTTAAGTATTCTAGAATACATACAAATCCGCTCCATACACCCTTTCTCGACTAGCTAATAAGATCAAATACACAAAGCTGTGCTATACAGGGACAAGCTAGTATGATCCGAATTAAACAAAGATATAACCCCTGCTTCAGGATAATCGCAGGATCAACATACCGCCCGAGGATGACTTTACCTTTCTTGTGTGTCGGAGACGTCGCCAGGTCCTCCTTCGAGTCGTCTTCCGTCGCCTCTTGCGGAGAGACGCCCCCTTCTGCCGAGGTCCGGGGCGGTGTGATTTCTGTGAGAAGCAGGTGGTCGAGGGTCAGTACTATCTTAGAAGGGTACACGATGGAAGCTGGTGTGAAGGAGATGGGGGTGGATAGTAGGGAGATAACATAGGGGAGATGGGGTGAGGAAGATGCTGTGATTGAGCAGGAGATGATTAGTTGTGACTGACGATCATGGGTTAGGATGCTAGGGATTGGCTGGAGATGCTATTAGTTATCTCTGGATAAATGAGGATTAATTGGAATCCTCTGGTGGTAGTGTGGGATGAGGTGTGTGTGTGTGGGGGTGGGGGTGAGATGTGGGGTGAGGCGAGTGGGGTGTAGAGGAGGAGGGGAGAGAGGGAGTCATAAGAAATAAGAGAGAGGTAATGCAGTTTTATATTCTGTTTCAAACAATTTCCTGCGGACTGTAGAAGAAAACATCGTTTTAAAGCTTCGTTTACGGCTACTTTAGGTATGAAAGGGAATTATAGATGTTATATTTTATTTCAGACGAATTGCGTGCGTGTGTCCGTACGTGTGTGCGTGTGCGTGTGCTCGTGTGTGTGTTGGATGTTGAGGAAATACTCTGTCGAGAAAAGTGATAAATCTGACTTGAATCAAGACTAGAGCTTAAGTCCATCACGCTCAAGAACCAGTGTTCCGTGTGTGTGTGTGGCCACTTGTCTCAGTGGCCACCTGATGATGATGATGATGATGAAGATTAAGCCACCCAAAAGGTGGCACGGGCATGAATAGCCCGTAAGTGGTGGCCATTTTAAGCCATTACCAGTATCAAGAGCTGATACTGGAGATCTGTGGAGGTGCGAATGCACCCTGCATGATGGGAGATGTCTCCCTTGTGAATGTGTTAAGATGAAGATGAAGCCACCCAATAGGTGGCACGGGCATGAATTGGTAAGCGGTGGCCCTTTCGAGCCATCACCAGTATCAAGAGCTGATACTGGAGATCTGTGGAGGTGCAAGTGCACTCTGCGTGACGGGAGATGTCTCCAATGAATGTGTCCAAGATGACGATTAAACCATCGAAAAGGTGGCACGGGCATGAATAGCCCGTAAGTGGTGGCCCTTTTGAGCCATTACCAGTATCAAGAGCTGATACTGGAGATCTGTGGAGGTGCAACTGCACCCTGCGTGACGGGAGATGTCTCCCGGACCAAGTGTGTGGTGTCTCACGGTGTGGCCACCTGTCTCGATGGGTACCTTTATAGGTAGGCACCTGTCTCAGAGAAAGCCTATCTCAGACGGTAGCTGTCTTCCAGGGAACCTGTCTCAGGGCCCAGACCTTCCAATGGAATACTATATCAATAAGTGTAAAACACTTTCAATGTTTGATGTGTCAACATATTGATGTGTCCAGAGAGACGAGAAGAATATAGCTCTTCCCAATTTCCCAGTCCTCTCACCCCTATACCTCTGGCTCCCTCCCTTCCCTCCTTCCTTCATCCCTCTCTCTCTCTCTCTCTCTCTCTCTCTCTCTCTCTCTCTCTCTCTCCTCTCTCTCTCTCTCTCTCTCTCTCTCTCTCTCTCTCTCTCTCTCTCTCTCTCTCTCTCTCTCTCTCTCTCTCTCTCTGTCTCCCAAGTTACCATAGACTCTGATGGTTCCGTCCGTCTCTCCCAGGGAGTTCTTGGCCACACATCGGTAGGAGCCGAAGTCCTGTGGGTCGACCCGTCGTATCCTCAGCTTCATGTAGACCTTGTAGGAGCTCTCTGCCAGAATGGGTTCGAACCTCTCCCCTGTCAGGAGGTGGTGGAAGATGGTGCTAATGTTATATAGGCTCATAGTTGAGGTGAAAAAACATAATTAAGAGAGAGAGAGAGAGAGAGAGAGAGAGAGAGAGAGAGAGAGAGAGAGAGAGAGAGAGAGAGAGAGAGAGAGAGAGAGAGAGAGAGAGAGAGAGAGAGTGGGTTGATTTGAGTACATATTTTAAAAATTAATAGATAAAATCTCCCTGCAAAAAAGCCACATGTAACAATCATATTGATGCGACAATTTCGAACTCACGTCATTGAAATCAAAATCTTAATATTAGAGTCCAAAGTTTCAATAATTTTGACTGTATAGGTGGTTGCTTGGGGCTAAAGTGAAGCGGTATATGTTAGTGTCTTTTGAAGATGTATTGGTGTCGACTGTATGAATGTACTGGAAATGTCTGTTTTAAGGGGTACGTGTGTCGACTTAAGATATTCATGTTTCGCTTTAAGGATTGCTTGTAAATTAAATTCGTATAAATTTATCGGCACTTGTATTGATTGTTTTAACTTTATTATTATTATTATTATTATTTTAATTATATAAATTATAATAACTTTTATTATCATAATGAAATTTATTGGTTTGTATAAGTTTGTTACCATATTTAATTGCGAGGCGACTAAAGTAACTCTCGGAAATACTTGTTTCTAATCAATTGATTGTTCAGTAATAGGTGGCACGGGCTTAGATAGATCTATTGGCCCATACGTGACAGCTCCTATTTATAGCCACCCAAAATTTATTCATATACTTGTCTAACCTACGCTTAAAACAATCAAGTGATCCAACGTCTATTACGTTACATAAATCAACAACCTATTGACTGGTAAATAGGACACAGGCGGCTACACTTACGAATAAAAACGGAAATTCAGTGACAATAGGTGCAGGTGCATTTATGTCTGTAGACATGCATAGACATATGCACATTTGATTTATGTCAGTTCCTGAGGGTTGATTTGTGTTACTGTGGTTGACCTGTGTCACTGTTGTGGGATGCACTCAGTACACTCGAGTGTGGGGGGTGGTGGTGGTGGTGGGGGAAGGGGGGGTGAGGAGGTGAACCAGGAGACTCGTGAGGGGTGAGGTTAGAGGGGGAAAGGGGGCGTGGAGGAGGCATGAATAAGTGCTCAAGTTTCAATAGTCTTCCAAATAGTCTCTAACTATTTATCCGGAGTTCAAACGTCGTGAAATACAAAAGACGGTTCTTGAAGTGTAGCCGAACTGACGTCACAACTGTTGACCTATCTTTGGACACGTGTGTGTGTGTGTGTATATATATATATATACACACACTATAAACCCACTTTCATTAGAATGTTCTCTGTCTCTCGCTCTCGTTCTCTCTCTCTCTTGCTCTGTATTTATGTCCATCTCTCTCTCTTACCTGCAACGATCATATCTCCTTTCTCGTTCGTCCAGTAGTTTATGCTCTTGGGGAAGGCTTCGGTGTGGCACTCAATGGTAAGATCCTGTCCTACGTAGGCCCCCTCCAGCTGCTGTGGCACCCAGGTCATCGGCGGGACTGTATGAGACATTGGCAAAGATGTAGACCTTAAGAAAAGGAGAAATAAGACAGGAAGAAATAGTTCCCTTCCCTCAATTCCATCTATCAGAGGAAAACAAGCCGTATGTGGGATGGGACAGGGGGAAAAGGGATGGTGCCCAACCACTTGGACGGTCGGGGATTGAACGCCGACCTGCATAAATGGGGGAAGAATACATTGCCTTAGAGTGAGGCAATGGAGAACTGCCTGGCTGTGAGGAGATAATGGGTAATAGGGTGAGGGATGTTGTGGGGGGTAGGTGGAGAGAGAGAGTGGTGAGGGGAAAGTGTGAGGTGGGAGTGAGGTGAGGGGAAAGTGTGAGGTGGGAGTGAGGTGCTGGGAGAGTGTGAGGTGGGAGTGAGGTGCTGGGAGAGTGTGAGGTGGGAGTGAGGTGCTGGGAGAGTGTGAGGTGGGAGTGAGGTGCTGGGAGAGTGTAGGTGAGAGTAAGAGGACTGGGGGAGAGCGTGAGGGAGGAAGATGGATGCTGGACATTGCCAGGTAATACATTATACATCTGGACTGGTACATACGTTGACCTCCTGTCTCTCTGTCTCTCTCTCTCCCTCTCAATCTCTCTCTCAATTTCTCTCTGAATTTCTCTCTCTCACACCCTATCGCTTTCTCCGTTTATATTTGTCCATTTGCCTCTGTCTCTGCTTTAATGTTTAGATGCCTATCTGTATGTCTCTCTGCCTCTCTCTCACACTCTCACTCAATCTACCTATCTGTCCCTGTCTCTCCTCTCTCTCTCCCCATCTCTACTTATTTCTGTCTGTCTCTCTCACTCTATCTACTTATTTGTTGCTCTCTCTCTCTTTCTCTCTCTCTCTCTCTCTCTCTCTCTCTCTCTCTCTCTCTCTCTCTCTCTCTCTCTCTCTCTCTCTCTCTCTCTCTCTCTCTCTCTCTCTCTCTCTCTCTCTCTCTCTCTCTCTCTCTCCCCCTCCAGAACCAACCCGGGTCACCACTCACACTGAACACTGAGGTGGGCTCGCTTGCTGATTGAGGGCGGAATGCCATTGGAGGCGATGCATAGGTAAGACCCCATCTGGAGCCTCGACACCTTCTTCAGTAGCAGGGTCTCCCCCTGCGCCTCCCGCGCCGAGCCGCCCGTGTACCTGCCTCCACCACGCCCGTCTCGCCCTGCTGCTGCTGTTGCTGCAGGAGAGCCCTTCATGCCCACGCCATGACCTGAGGTTCAGCCCACGTCAAGTCAAAGCGTTGTGGGCGTGGGTAGATGGAGGAACCAGCAGAAATATAGTTATAAAGTTAGTATGGAATATGGACATTTGTGTGTATATAATACTATATAATCTGATAATGTTTGCGTCTGTCTGTGTCCATAAGTGGAGATTAGGCACTTGGGGCTATAGCCTCGTGTATATTTGCACAGGGAATCGTCTGCGGTATAGGACGGAAATAGGTTGGTAGAGGTGCTCACAACTCAAACGGGAATAGCATGCCAGGGTCACAATCTCACTCACTCGATGATTTTTAGCATTGCCTGATGTGTACGTGTATCAAAATATTTTGAAAACTAACATTTCTAATATTTTTTCTCATTAAATGTACACCATTATTCACTGATCTTGGGAAAATTAACATAACTATTCTCCTGTCTTTGCTTTGACCATATTAACTGACGATTCTCTCATAGATACAAAGCCTTTCTGAAGCCCTGACCCCTTTTTTGAAAGCAAATGGATAACTTTTCTATTTTTTTAATATTTCATCCTGCTAAGCTCCTTCCATCAAACGACCACTAACACGACTATGGCAGACAAATAAATTATTTAAGAGAGAGAGAGAGAGAGAGAGAGAGAGAGAGAGAGAGAGAGAGAGAGAGAGAGAGAGAGAGAGAGAGAGAGATATTATTTTCTCAATTGCTGTGTACACTGCTCTTTTGCTAAACTGGCTTCATGTTATATTGAAACTGATTATCAAGAAGAATAGTTATCGTGACGTGCATATAAGAGCTTCGTACCTTCTGTGTTATGTATGACAGACATTTCCTTGACATTAAAGAAGATTTCTGCTTCGAGTTTTACCTATGATGAAAAATAAACACGGAACAGTTTTCTTAAGTTTGTGATTGCGTTATAACTTGTGCTGGAGTTTGTTATATTGAGTGGTAACGCTGTCTTTATGAGTTACAAGGGTAATTTTGGCGTTATTTGGCTCGTTATTGTTTAACCTTTGGTTGGGTGTTATTGTTGTGGTTGCTATGGTGATTGTTGCTGTTTTTGGGGTCTTATTTTCGTAGCTGCTTTGATGATTGTTGCTTATTGAACACTATTGCTGTAGTTGCTATTGATTGTTGTTAACAATCGAAGCGCTGCCCGAAACGCTTTGCGTAATAGTGGCTTTAGGCATTGTATGTACTAGCTCTATCTATAAATCTATCAATTTTTGTAAAATCTCTTGTATGTATGTACCTTACCTGAATACACATTTATTTATTTATTTATTTATTTATAACACATATTCATTTCATGATCCAATTAAAACCTTCGTTTCTTAAGTCATAGAAAAGTTTATATACGAGTTTCTTCTGGTTGAGCTGATAAAGCTTATGCTTCAGCTTCTGTGATAGGAGACGAGTAGTTATACAAAATACCATCAAGGAGTATTATTTCAGTGGTTTGATAACCTGGAGACGGAACCACCTGCGAAAGTGGAGTTTGCCACTGAAATGGTCTTAAATTTCATTATCCTCGCAACGCTGCCATGAAACATTCAGAAAACGAAGTCGATGCTCGCTGACACTCTCTGTGTGAATTAGTGTCAAGTGTATTATTCCGTTAATGAGCGCTTGACGATGGTTGGCGCCAATGTTTAAAAAGGAAAGTTTTTCACCGCATCGGCAATATATATATAAGTAGCGTACCTGTAACAATGGCAGGTAAGGTTCCAGTTTATGTAGTTCAGTTGTAGGACAAACCAGTCCATGAAATGCTTTCAGTGCCTGTACTAATATATATATATATATATATATATATATATATATATATATATATATATATATATATATATATATATATATATATATATATATATATATATATATATATATATATATATCGTAGGTACATAGCCAGCCTTCTTGATCATGCCTGTCGAGGAGGAGGAGAAGAGCTTCGATGGTCTCACTTTAAGGTGAGAAGGATTGAGGGGGGGGGGGGGGCGGGGATTATTAATTCTGAATAGCGGTCAATGCTCCTTTAATTGTGGCTGACGTTAACTGACTTTGACATCCGGATCAACGCTAATATTTACCAGAGTGATTAAATCTCTCTCTCTCTGTCTCTCTTTCTCTCTGTATATTCTTACGGGCTATTCATGCCCGTGCCACCTCTTGGGCGGCATAATCTTCTTCAGTCAATCGATCTTGTATATTTCATTACCTGAAGATGTTCCAGTGTGGAACGAAACGTTGTAGAAAATATATCATTCATTAATCAGTTTCTTTACCATGAATTTCTGTAACTTGATTGCTCTTCTTAATCCAGAGAGTAAGAGAACAGAAACATAAAATCAGGCATAACGATTTTTGTTATTTTCAATTTATCTTTCCAAATTCATTTATTCACATCAGGTGTACCCAATGGGGAAATTAAATTCATTTATATCTAATGCATATTGACGGAACTAAGTTAATTACACTAAGCTAAACACAATAAAATCACAAGAACATACCGTAGTGAATATGCAACGCGAGAAGTTAATGGAAGCCCCATGAAATGATTACAACAAATTAAATATATTCCTCTTCCAAGAATATAAACCCAGGCAAGGTTAACCTAGATTAACAACCAACTCCGCCTACAACCGCATGGTCCGGGTTGGATTCGTACGCAGCACGAGGCGTTTGGCTGTGTATCTTTACACATACACAGTGTAAATCGACTTGAGAATGGTCCAAGACGGACCGAAACGTCGTCGTCCCTTCACATTCTAGTGTGTGGTCTGTTCAACATACACAGTACCTCTGGTGTAGTAAACAGGTACTTCAGAGCAGTCGGAGTTGCATCGTGGGGAACGTAGGTCGATCGTTGGACAAGGTGGACCTCTGTAAACCTATAAGAGCCTTCCTATAGCTATAACCTAACAATGGAGAACGAGGAACTATAGTAATGTGTCGTCTATATAAGCAGACACGGTATTGGAGACTCTGTTATACACTACTCTGAAGTCTTGCCTTAAGCTTTTTTTTCAATTTGTGAATCGTGTTGTTAAGAGTTATAAGTGTTGTTATTATTGTGATGATGGTCTTTGTTCTTGATTCCAATTTAATGGAATTGGAATCATTGATTCCAAGTTGATGAAATAGGGAAGTCAGATCTCTTACATTATTTTTGAAGCGTTCTTTCGTTTATTTCATTCATTTTCTGTCTTGCTTTACTTCCCCGTGACAAATTAGTTTGTGCAGTCTCTCTTTAACACCGATTGATGAAGATTAAGCCACCCAAGAGGTGGCACGGGCATGAATAGCCCGTAATCTTTAACACCCTTTCCCCCTCTCTTTTAACACTCTTTTCCTCCCTCTCTTTTAACACCCTTTCCACATCTCCTTTACCCCTACCCTTTCCCTTTACACACCGTCGCCTCTTGCAAACCTTACTTTTTGACTCTAGGCGCGTCTTTCATATCTTCCTAGAGTAATTTTTGTTTACCCCTCTTCAATAATGCTTGTTTTTCGTTTAAAATTTTCCTTCTCACTTTCCCTGAAATCTACTCGCCTTTCTTATTTATGGTAGAGCTTTTTTCTTTTCTTTCATCTCCTCATCCTCCACTTTCCCTTGTTTCCCATTTTGTTCTCTGCCTCCTTCTGCCTCCTTCTGTCTCAGAAGCTTCGTCGGTCATACTGACAAACTTGCGTCTACTTCCCGGCATAACCTCGCCCAGGGACCTTATAGGCGGCCTTCTTGTCACCTCTTGTGTTGATATATGGTTCCTCTTGCCTGTCATATGAGTGTCCTCCCTCCCCTCTCTCTCTCTCTCTGACCTGGCACGTCTTCTCTGCTTCTTGCTCCCTTTTTCCCCAACACACTTCGCTATCCTCGTCCACTTTCTAGCCACCCACACCCACACCCACACACCCACACACACACACTGACACCCACCCACACACACACACACACACACACACCCACACACCCACACACACACACACACCCACACACACACACACACACACACACCCACACACACACACACACACACAACCTCGCGCGCGCGCACACACAGGGAGGGCGGCGACCACGTTCGTGATTTAATGATTTGCAATGAATAACTCCACTTTACGAGGCCAATCGCTCGACGTCTGATGGTCACTATTGCATGGGACTCAGAATGTCCGTGTTTCTTCATTCTCTGAGACGCTTTGCCATCCAGTTCGTTTTCTCGAGTTGCCTCTCCGTAAAAATTGCAACTGTTTTTTGCCTAACATAACACGTACGACCCCAAGCAACGCCCCTCCCCCCCTCCTCCTCTCTAACCTGCATATAAGACCTATGCTCATGAAACGTTAACATTACCTTGCTTTATTTATTCCTAATACGTCGATTTGTTGATGGATTAGTCGATTCGGTTAAAAATACGAAGTATTAGATAAGACAATCCAAACTCTGAATTGCAGTTAAATTGTTTTGAAAGGGCAAATAATTACAACTTTTTGTTTTCTTGAGAACACTCCAGTAGTAAGTTGCAAATGTTGATCTGTTGCCTCTTTCACCGTCTCGGCGCCTCATAACTCCCGTTGAAGCACTGAATTTGTCTTAGACGTCAAGACAAATCCAGCGCTTGGACAGGAGTTTTTAGACGGTGTCAACTCACTTGGAAACGCTGGATTCGATATATGATTATAATTGTATTTATTTTTTATGTATTAATGAAATATGTCGGCCAACTGTACCCTGTTGTACCATGGAATGTGGCTACACTGTACCCTGTTGTACCATGGAATGTGGCTACACTGTTCCCTGTTGTACCATAGAATGTGGCTACACTGTTCCCTGTTGTACCATGGAATGTGGCTACACTGTACCCTGTTGTACCATGGAATGTGGCTACACTGTTCCCTGTTGTACCATGGAGTGTGGCTACACTGTACCCTGTTGTACCATGGAATGTGGCTACACTGTTCCCTGTTGTACCATGGAGTGTGGCTACACTGTACCCTGTTGTACCATGGAGTGTGGCTACACTGTACCCTGTTGTACCATGGAGTGTGGCTACACTGTACCCTGTTGTACCATGGAGTGTGGCTACACTGTACCCTGTTGTACTCGCTACCACAAACTGTTGATTATGAAGTAGTTCCTAAACAACCATATTCGCTAATTACCAGCTGACCTTCACTGACCTGTGTTTCCGGGCTCTAAGACGATGTCCTTATTGTCCTCCCGTCGCCAAATGATGCTTGGAGGAGGGTGACCTTTGGCCCGACAGGTCAAGGCCACATCTTGTCCCTCGCGGACTGTCAAGTCACCTGATGATTCCCTGTCAATTATATCCGGGGGCACTGTGGGGGACATCAGAGAGTGTGAGGGGTTAGTGGGGGATGAGATTGATGGGGTATGGGGGGGGTGAAGATGGATACGTAGGTTTGATATCATGATATCATAGTCATTCAGGTCCCCAATCCTCCACCATCTCCCTCGTCTACAAACAACTACCCACCTACAACGTCGACGTAGCCCTGGCGGGATCTCATGGGGTCGGTGTTGACCTGACACATGTACCAGCCACGGTCGATCTCCCTCACGTTCTTGATCTGGAGGTGCCAGGTCCGGTGGTCGTTGTGCAGCAGGGCGATCCTCGGGTTGCGGGTGATCACCTGCTTGTGGATCGTCAGGATGGTCTGTGTGTCGACCTGTACCCACGCCACCTGCACCAAGTCCAGCACGAAAGCTTAGTTAGGGGATACAGAAGCCAGGAAGTCAGGCACGAAGGCTTAGTTAGGGGATACAGAAGCCAGGAAGTCAAGCACGAAGGCTTAGTTAGGGGATACAGAAGCCAGGAAGTCAGGCACGAAGGCTTAGTTAGGGGATACAGAAGCCAGGAAGTCAGGCAGGAAAGATAAGATGAAGATTAAGCTATCCAAAAGGTGGCACGGGCATGAATAGCCCGTAAGTGGTGGTGGCCCTTTTGAGCCATTACTAGTATCAAGAGCTGATACTTGAGATCTGTGGAGGTGCAACTGCACCCTGCGTGACGGGAGATGTCTCCCGTGTGGTGAGGAAAGCTTAGTTTTGATATATATATACCTGCCAGAAAAGCTGCGCGTACTAGTGGCTTTACAAGAATGTAATTACTATACTATGTATCCTCATAATCCCAATGTACCTTCCTGTAAATAAATAAATAAATAAATAAATAAATACAAGTCAGAGTCATTGAACGACAAATGGAGGGTAAGTAGCGGAAGCTGTCGTTAAAAGGGTAGAAAGAAAACGGGTAAACAAAGGCTGCTAAATGTAAACAAAATACCTGTATTCATATACATTAATTTTCAAGTGTATTGACCGTGTGTGTATTATATACACGAGCGGTGTTAATACACCAGCGTCAACAATGTGAATGCCTTAACAATAGGTTAATCGAGATAAATGATTCAAAATAAGAGGAAGGAACAGCCCCCCCCCCCACACACACATCAGGAGGCAAGCATCCAAGCAAACATTCCTTCTGACATTTGGAACACAAACACATCACAACAGAGACAAAGAAAGAGGAGAATCTTGCAAATGCTCCATTATTACAACGAGCAACACACACACACACACACACACACACACACACACACACACACACACACACACACACACACACACACACACACACACACACACACACACACACACACACACACACACACACACACACACACAGGAATCTGTACACCAGTTGATTGACGGTTGAGAGGCGGGACCAAAGAGCCAGAGCTCAACCCCCGCAAGCACAATTAGGTGAGTACAATTAGGTGAGTACACACACACATATACACATAGGGAGGGGCTGGTGACTGAGTGGACAGCACGTTGCACACGTGGTCCTGTGGTCCGGGGTTCGATTCACGGCGCCGGCGAGAAACAATGGACAGAGTTTCTTTCATCCTAATGCTCCTGTTACCTAGCAGTAAATAGGTACCTTAGTAACAGTTGATTGACAATTGAGAAGCTGGCCGAAAGAGCCAGAGCTCAACCCCCGCAAGCACAACTGTAGGTGAGTACACATACAAAATCCCACCTCACCCTGAACCAAAAAAAAAGTGATAATAAATTACTGGTGTAAGGTAGAGGAGAAGAGTTAAGATGACAGTGATGAAACTCTCGCATCCGGCCGCCCCCGGGCCTGCTTTACCGGGTTCCAGCCAGACGCAGCAATTTGGCAAGCGAGACAGAGGCCGCATACTTAGATAACAGGCCCGAGAACCGACGGAGGCTTGGCCCTCTTCCAGGCTTCTTCAAGACCTAAGAGCCAAGGCTTCGAGCTGTGTTTGCTGAGGCGCAGGAGGGGGGTAGAGGTCCAGGGGTATATAGATGGGGTTAGGGATCCTGGAAATGGGAGAGTGAGTAGGGAAAGGGGGAACCTTAACCCCCCCAGGTTTAAGGGAGAAGAAGGGGGTGTTAGGGAACAGAGGAGAATCCCTGATATTAAAAAAAGATGCGGGAGAGAATGCGTAAAAAAGCTTAGTGTGTGTAGAGTAGATATGTTTGCCTCAGTACGGAAGGCTTCCCAGACGGTGTCTCCAGGTTCGGTTGGGATGCAGCGGTTGCGATGCTGGTGACTTATAAGTGACAATAACATGCAACATGGTCTAATTTATATGCTAAAGAGGACGGTTTGTCCTCCCCTTATGAATGCAGGGTTAGTTTGATGACCACTTTCTTCTCCTTCCCATACACTCTAAACGTTTCCTGCCTTTCGGCGCTGATTTTTTTTTTTTTTTACATTTATTTGCTCCTCTCTCTCGTCTATCTCTCTCTCTCCTCTCGTTTTTCTCTCTCGTCTGTCTGTCTGTCTGTCTGTCTCTGTCTCTGTCTCTGTCTCTGTCTCTCTCTCTCTCTCTCTCTCTCTCTCTCTCTCTCTCTCTCTCTCTCTCTCTCTCTCTCTCTCTCTCTCTCTCTCTCTCTCTCTCTCTCTCTCTCTCTCTCTCTCTCTCTCTCTCTCTCTCTCTCTCTCTGTCTCTCTCTCTCTCTCTCTGTCTGTCTGTCTGTCTGTCTGTCTGTCTGTCTGTCTGTCTGTCTGTCTCTCTCTCTCTCTCTCTCTCTCTCTCTCTCTCTCTCTCTCTCTCTCTCTCTCTCTCTCTCTCTCTCTCTCTCTCTCTCTCTCTCTCTCTCTCTCTCTCTCTCTCTCTCTCTCTCTCTCTCTCTCTCTCTCTCTCTCTCTCTCTCTCTCTCTCTCTCTCTCTCTCTCTCTCTCTCTCTCTCCTACTCTCTCTCTCTCTCTCTCTCTCTCTCTCTCTCTCTCTCTCTCTCTCTCTCTCTTCTCTCCTACTCTCTCTCTCTCTCTCTCTCTCTCTCTCTCCTACTCTCTCTCTCTCTCTCGCTCTCTTGACCTTTCGCGTGAGGACCAGAAACATATGAAAGGGTGCCCACGCTGGCCAGACATTACTTACAGCTTCTCGCATACTCTTCCTCCGGGCAAGATATGGCTGTGTGTTTATCACAGGTTTGCCTGAGCAAATGGCAGCAGCTACAGAGCATCTCGTCAGCCCAACACAGCCAGGATTCCTGCCTTTTATTACAGCAAACCTTCGGGTTCTACTCCGCAGCCACTGATGCTGTGTTCTGACACCTTGAGAAAGTACAGTTCCTCTCTACTAGATATGTAAACTGGGAAAGTTATCTCCACAGGAGTCTTGCACAGAACTTGTTTTAATAATGTTGACCAGACCACACACTAGAAGTTGAAGGGACGACGACGTTTCGGTCCGTCCTGGACCATTCTCAAGTCGATTGTTTTAATAATGGTTGAAATTACACACAATCACACTAACGTGACGCATCAAATGAACAAATCCACAAGGGCCGTGACGAGGATTCGAACCTGCGGCCGGAAGCATCCCAGACACTGCCTTAATCGACTGAGCTACGACAGGGTTAAAAAGAGTTGAAACCGAAGTTCTACTGAACTTACTGGATCCCGTAGCCTCTCCGAGGCACAAACCAGGATTTTACACGACGCAGGTTCGAATCCTCGTCACGGCCCTTGTGGATTTGTTCATTTGGTTGAAATTGTATATAACTGAGGTCGCTGGTAATAGTAGGGGAGGTTGGGTTAGGTAGGGTTTTGTTAGGTTTAGTTTGATTGGGGTTAGGTTAGATAGGTTTAATTGGAAAAAACTTCATTAGTAAATCGTATTATGTAGATCGTCTTCCCAAAATTATAGTAGTGATTATATGTAGTGATCCAATATATAGTGATGGACCACTAATACGTTGACTTTTTGTATGAAAGAATTTGACCAAATGAGAATATATTTTTAAGTGCAACGTGAATATAGATCCTAATCAAACCTCCCGGTGTGTATTCTAGGCCTAATATATGCTGTTGACCAGACCACACACTAGAAGGTGAAGGGACGACGACGTTTCGGTCCGTCTTGGACCATTCTCAAGTCGATTGTCGTTCTCACAATCGACTTGAGAATGGTCCAGGACGGACCGAAACGTCGTCGTCCCTTCACCTTCTAGTGTGTGGTCTGGTCAACATACTTTAGCCACGTTATTGTGACTCATCGCCTAATATACGCTATCTCGGTGCATATAGGTGCTATATTAGGCCTAGAGAAATCTTTGATTTTTAGCTTCATTTCTTCCGGACCCCATAAAATTGAAGATACAAAAAGTGAACTTTTTGAAGCTCCATCAGTACATAAATTGGATCTTTCGACCAAATAGTTAGTTGATTGGGTTAGGTTAGGTTAGGTTAGGATAAGTTCTATTATTTTCAGAGGATGGGTGGATAGTACGAAATGACCGCTATAGTCTCCAAGACTTCGAACCTCCATTATAACTATGCTGGAGCTGCTCTGTGGCTATTGTGAAGGCAAAGTGGATATCTAAAGTGATATCCAGCTGCCTATTCCTTGCCTATCGACTGAACGTATTTATCATCTCCGCTAAAAGACCAAGTCATCAGATCACGTAGCTTTTATCTGATAATTAAATTAGCGCTTTTTGACATCCTCGCCCAACACCTTCCGTCAGTTTCGAGTCGGAACGAGACAGCCGAGACGACGCCACTTAAACGATAGCGAAAAAGACGCTGACCTGGACACTTTCTTCCAAGGAGAAAATCCATTTACACACTCAGAAGAGATGGTCATTGAGACTCACTTTATTAGCACACTTTATTAGATCCGAAACACATCGCAATACAAGTAGCATACATCAGGGGCTGGACCTGACGGAGAGAGCAAGGAACGAGTCACCGGCGCCAACGTGCAGGAGCCATGATAGCAAGATAACGGTTTCTTTGCTAAGTTGACCATGATGAGGATATCACGGCTTAGAGTACCAGTCCTTACTCTTTCCTTTAAGTATATGAAAAGACATCAAAGACTCAAACACTCACGAAATTAAACACTCACGAACTTTATCGAAATTGAGTTGACCAGACCACACACTAGAAGGTGAAGGGACGACGACGTCTCTGGTCAACTTTAGCCACGTTATTGTGACTCATCGCCTTCATCGAAATGAAAAATTCAGCTAAAAACCGAGAAAAAATGGACCCTTGACGATGATAATGTAGAGTAGACTAGTCTACAAAGTCTACTAGAGGCCTCACGTGTAGACTAGTCTACACGTGAGGCCACCTCTCACGTGGACGACTGCCACACCATGCAGGAGATGTGGCCAAGACTGTAATGAGTGGAGAAGTGTGGCAGGTACAGGCACATAAAATCTGTAAACATGAATTGAAGGTAAAATTAAGAACATATATAGGCACCTGGAGTGTATAGTTGGAGCAAATTTGGAAGGTTGGATGGTGAATATAAGGTTGTGAGGAGGATGTATAGATGAAGCAATTTAGATTATGCAGTTCAGTTTTGGTCGCCGTATTATAGAATGGATATAAATTCACTTGAACGTGTCCAACGTAGGATGACTAAGTTAATTCCCCAAATTAGAAATCTTTCATATGAAGAAAGATTAACAAAGCTTAAGTTGCATTCACTGGAAAGGCGAAGAGTTAGGGGTGACATGATAGAGGTTTACAAGTGGGTGAATGGACATAACAAAGGGGATATTAATAGGGTATTAAAAGTATCAACACAAGACAGAAAACGAAACAATGGGTGTAAATTGAATAAGTTTAAATTTAGGAAAGACTTGGGTAAATACTGGTTCAGTAACAGAGTTGTTGATTTGTGGAACCAATTGCCGCGTAACATTGTGGAGGTGGGATCCCTCGATTGTTTCAAGCGCGGGTTGGACAAGTATATGAGTGGGATTGGGTGGTTATAAATAGGAGCTGCCTCGTATGGGCCAACAGGCCTTCTGCAGTTGCCTTTGTTCTTATGTTCTTAAGCAAGAATATGTGGTTGGAACAAGAATGTAAAGTAAATCTATGAAAAATATCACAAAAAAAAGTGTAGCGTGATTATTTTTTTTGTCGCAGTCAAATGCTCAAACCAAAACAAAATATTAAAAACGTAAACACATATAATTAACAACCGTACGCTCTGCGTAACGACGCAACTTATAAGTTGCGTCGTTACGTTACGTTACGTTAAGTTCTGTGTGACTTATAACTTATAAGTCACACAGCTTTCTCGTCCCCTCCTTTCCCGACTCTCCATCTCATAACCCCCCCCCCCCAACCATAAACCCTCACCCCACACCCCTTGGGACCCCCCAACCCCCTCTCCAGACCCCCACAACCCCTCTCCAGACCCCCACAACCCCTCTCCAGACCCCCACAACACCTCTCCATACCCCCCACAACCCCTCTCCAGACCCCCACAACCCCTCTCCAGACCCCCACAAGCCCTCTCCAGACCCCCACAACCCCTCTCCAGACCCCCACAAACCCTCTCCAGACCCCCACAATCCCTCTCCAGACCCCCACAACCCCTCTCCAGACCCCCACAACCCCTCTCCAGACCCCCACAACCCTTCTCCAGACCCCCACAACCCCTCTCCAGACCCCCACAACCCCTCTCCAGACCCCCACAACCCCTCTCCAGACCCCCACAACCCCTCTCCAGACCCCCTCAACCCCTCTCCAGACTCCCACAACCTCTCTCCAGACCCCCACAACCCTCTCCAGACCCCCACAACCCCTCTCCAGATTCCCACAACCCCTCTCCAGACCCCCACAACCCCTCTCCAGACCCCCACAACCCCTCTCCAGACCCCCACAACCCCCTCTCCAGACCCCCACAACCCCTCTCCAGACCCCCACAACCCCTCTCCAGACCCCCACAACCCCTCTCCACCAAGCGCTGGTCCTGGCTATCAACACTACGACCCGGGTTTTCGCAACAAAAAATGACTGCCCGTGGAAATTTTTTTTCCATCGGGAAGCTGGAAAGTGGTTGAGAAAGACCATTTGCTTGCGCCCGGGGCTCCGAAGTGCGACGATGGTCACGACGTGGGAAATACCTGATTATCCGTCTCTGGACCGACTATGGAGTCCTTATCGGGTCTCAGATGGGTGAAGGGAGAGCTGCAGGGGACGCTGGTTTGGCTGAAGAGTTATAGTGTGTAGGTGTGGGATGGAGGGTGAGAGGGAAGGTGCGTGGGTGGGAAGGGGGTGAGAGAGAAGGATGGAATGGGAGAGAAGGATTAAGGTGAGGAGGAAAGGGCGTGGCACTCAGCTGATTTTGGTCGAGAATCGAGGGAAGAATATAACAAACAGGTGACTTCTGTTAGCTGTTAAACCCAAGCCAACGGGTTTACGGGCTCACCATAGCCCGTGCTACATGGACACTTCGCCCTGAGTAGCTAAATCTTTAACAACAACAACTTCTGTTAGCTTTTGGCCTATGTTTCAGACTGGAGTATAAGTTATAGCATAATCTGTCACTCAAACAGCTGTTTGAGTGACATATTTGCCTGAATTAAGAGCCAGTAGGCCTTCTGCAGCTCTATGTACTTATAAGATACAGTACACATACTCTATGTATGTGCTTCTTCTGTCAGGATGCATCGTGTTCGTAGCTTGGGCGTGCCTCTGTGAGAGACAAACTTGTGACCTTTTCTCTTTGACGCAGAGTAACGTGGACAGCTGTATAACCTTGCATGGGATATATATGGTCCTGCATTACTCATGGGGGGGGGGATTTAGGCGTAGTCCTTAAACCTGGAAGCAAAGGTCTTATTTCTCTCAAGGAAAGAGGCGTGGTCTTTAAATTAAATCTTTAAGGGAAGTGTGGATCTTTATCTAGGAGTTAGATATGTAAGTGGTTGTTAGCGTAGACTCTGAAATGGTCTTAGTGTCCATCAAAAAGTCATAAAGTAGACATGATTTTTACAAGGATTCCTCTTATCCTTACCTTAATGTCGTGAGGAAAGCGAAGCCCTAGCTAAGCTTAGCACCCTGAAGGAAGCGTAGCTCTTACCTTAACTTTGTAACATCCTGAAGTAACCAAAACTCTCACCTTAAAGCCCAGAGATAAGCCTTAGCCCCTTACCATAAAGCTTTGAAGTAAGTCCTTCCCTTAAAGCCCTGAGGTAAGCGGAGTCCCTTACCTTAAAGCCCTTGAGCTGCTCGACGGTGCAGGGCAGAAGGGCATCTCTTCCCACAGTCACGGTGATGTTGGGGACGTTCTCGATGAACTTGGGCAGGGCGCCAACGTCCTCACTGCTCCCTGTAGGTGAAAGGTGAGTACGAGGTGAGTACGTGCGAGAACATGGGTGAGTATGCGTGGGAGAGCATGGGGTCTGTGGGTAAGAAAACATGGGTTTGTGGGTTCAAGTTCAAGTACGTTTATTGAGACAATAAAATACATGATGACCAGACATTCTAGTGTGTGGTCTGGTCATCATACTTTAGCCGCGTTATTGTGACTCATCGCCTGCTTATGAATAAAATACATCTCAAAGAGATAGAGTAGCTTAGACTATGTTTACTCTCCCATGTGAGGTTGTGAGTGGGAGAGCATGGATGAGTGTGTGTGGGGGGGGAGAGGTAATATTGGTCATTAGATAAAATAGATAATACTAACCACTTGGTGAGGATAGTAGTGTTGACCACTTGTCGCACGAGGAAACATTGACCGCACAGTGCGAGAACTTTGCAAGAAGTAGAGTACGAGACGAAAATCCAAATCAGAAAACCCCAGAAATAATATAATGAGTTACAACTAAAAAAAATTCAGCTAAGGAACTGGATTGGACTTACAAACTTATGCAAGAAACTGGATACTACGATTGGACGTACAGATTAAGGCAGGGAACTGCGTACTACGACTGGACTTACAGACTAAAGCAGGGAACTGGGTACTACGATTGGACTTACAGACTAAAGCAGGGAACTGGATACTACGACTAGACTTACAGACTAAAGCAGGGAACTGGATACTACGATTTGACTTACAGACTAAAGCAGGGAACTGGATACTACGACTGGACTTACAGACTAAAGCAGGGAACTGGATACTACGACTGGACTTACAGACTAAAGCAGCGAACTGGATACTACGACTGGACTTACAGACTAAAGTAGGGAAAGGCAGCACTAAGACTCACGTCTCAAAAGAGAGAAAGTATAAGGACACATGATACACCTCACACCTGCACGTGCGGGTCAACGCTCACTGTAAACATGAAGAGATTGAGCGCTCATGTTATGACACACTACTGTGGTTCATTACTCAAAATGCAAAGAAAACGTGACTCGTCTTATCCAGTTCAGACGGACGATGAATCTCAAGTTATCGGACTCTATATATGTCGACCTGAGGCTGACGGATAAGAGACTGAGGAGTCTGAAGGAAGAGGCTGAGCAAAAATGCTCAGGAGGCTTACATGCCTCACACAAGAGGCTGTGGGAGGAGTCTTGGGTACGAGAGAGAGAGAGAGAGAGAGAGAGAATGACCCGATTATTAGATATTAATTCACGGATTTGTTTCGTGTTGAACTAGCCACTATTCCTCGTGGTCATGAGGGAAGCACATGCGGCCGCAGGAGGCGGCGCCGGTAGAGGCGGTAATAGTAAAAGGAGGAGGCTGTTAAAGGGAAATAATTGAACGGGTGAAGACAATTATAGCGACGGAGGCGAAGGGGGAGGAAGTAATGCAGAAGGGAAGAAGACAAGGAAGGGAAGGCAGCAGTGATTGAGATGGAGAGGTCTCTATGAGAGAGAGAGAGAGAAATAGGGAGACCTCTATGACAGAGAGAGATGGGGAGGCCGATGAAAGAGGGAGATGGGGTAAGCCTCGGCAAAGAGGGAGAAGGGGAAGTCAGAAGAGACAAGAGGAGAGCTAGACGCGGCCCCATACGGTCAGAAGATGAACTTAGGGATGGGTCAATTTCCCGTGTTATTGTGTTAGGCAAATCGTTGTGGCCCAGGACTGTTGCCAGAGAAATTTCCTGTTGAAAGTTAGCTTTCTCTGTCTTTCTGTCTCTCTCTTTGTCTCGCTCCCTCTTTCTCTCTCTCTCTCTCTCTCTCTCTCTCTCTCTCTCTCTCTCTCTCTCTCTCTCTCTCTCTCTCTCTCTCTCTCTCTCTCTCTCTTTCTCTTCTCTGTTCTGTCTCTCGCTCTCGCTCACTCTGTCTCTTGAAGTTTTCACCATCGAACGTTTAATCCTCGGAATGTTTCACTATCAAAGCGTTTTGAAGTTTTCTGAAAAATGTCCTGAACTGCAAAAAAAAAAGTTCGTACTGGAACTTTTCATCATTGATACTCCTTGAGTTTCATGTTATGTACAGTTGTTCATATTAAAAACCTTTATAATAAACCCGACTCGAAACAGACGCTACAATGCCAAGTTGTATGGTTGAATATGTCATATGTACAGTTGCCAGAAACAACAAGGCGCCCGCCTCAAAGCCAATCAGATTTGCGTCTGTCTGAAAGAGGAGTGAAAGTCAGAGAAGTGGACTTGTCGTCCTTGTTGTGTGGTCCGAAACTACGTTATATTTTTATTCCAGTTTTTTTTATTAAGGTTTATTGTGGGTACGTACAGGCTTTTCTTCTTCAACAAAGACAAGTTAGTGAATTGAGAAGAATGTGAGACAGAGAGAGAGAGAGAGAGAGAGAGAGAGAGAGAGAGAGAGAGAGAGAGAGAGAGAGAGAGAGAGAGAGAGAGAGAGAGAGAGAGAGAGAGAGAGAGAGAGAGAGAGAGAGCCTCACGGCTGACCAAAGAGGAAGCAGAGACGACCCTGATCAAATACCTCTTCCCTCTTCCTACCTCGGAGGAAAAATCACATCAAAAAAGTTTATTTCAGGTTAGCCAAGGAAGTTATTATAAATTGTTTCAGCCTCCTTCGGTAAATAGATAGTTTAGCTGTACAGAAGGACGCTATTAAGCCAACATTATCGGAATATACTGATGGACACCCAGATGATGGGAGGGCAAGGGTGGCATGTTGACACATGTGGCATGTTGACACATGTGTCATCTGTTGACACGTGTCCTCTCTTGACACGTGTTCTACCTATGATTTCCTTATGTGTATTCTATTTTACTATCTATTTCTGTGTCCGGTTAAAACATGTATCCGGTCATGATGTGTTCTTCCATGACATGCGCCGTTCCTTTCCTATGTTGTCATGCCGTCCCATGCTGTCATGTGTCCCGTCTCACCATATTTTCTATCTTATTATCATGCCTCTCATCATGTGTCCAGTTTACAATGGATCATTTTTGTGCTCTATTTTTAAGTCATCAACATAAAAATATTGTATCTAACGTATCTAACATTTTAACACTTGCTGTACATTTTAACAAGTGTCATATAATTTAACACGTGTCGTATAATTTAACATGTGACGTTTGTTAGATTTTAACGCGTGTCGCACATAGTAGTCTCTCGAATACGTTAATAATTCCCAAGTATTAACGTATATAGCATTAAACTTATCTTTAATGCAGCACACTGTCTCGTATATTTTAACACGAGAATGTTAATACACACAGAAATCATGTTTCATGCATGTTAATACTGTCGAGATGTATGGAGAAGACTATTGGGGACATTATGATAATTGCGTCATTTGGGACTAGCTGTAAGAAGTGGAAATGATATAAGGACATGTTCACGGGGCTATACCTACCTGATTGATGATTGATAAAGATTAAGCCACCCAAGAGGTGGCACGGGCATGAATAGCCCGTAAGTGGTAGCCCTTTTGAGCCATTACCAGTATCAAGAGCTGATACTGGAGATCTGTGGAGGTGCGACTGCACCCTGCGTGACGGGAAATGTCTCCAGTGTATATCTACATGTCAGGCCTCCCGTTTGATTGATGGATGAAGCTTAAGTCACCCAAGAGGTGGCACGGGCTTGAGTAGCCCGTAAGGCTTCCCGCTGATGTGCAAATCACTTTGTAATGAAATAAAGTGAGGTAAATAATTCTTATTACCTGGAATCTTTTCGAAGTGATGTGAATTAGGCTCGTCGTACCTGTACATATTCGTATCATGAAGGCTTTCCGCCCTCCTCCCCCACCAAAGGGGATGGGTTTGGAAAGGAAAGCTTCTGCACTTTCAACACTGCTGTCCTTGTATCCCCATATCTGTATTAAACACTTTCACCCATTCTTACATATTCTCTTTTGTTTTGTTTACTACATTTCAGTAAACACTGGCTTACTCTTCCTTATTCTCTTCCTAACCTTAGGTTTATTAGTTAAAACCTTTCTCTTTTTCTCTTCCTTTCTAAGGTTTATTAGTTAAAAACGACCTTATGTCTAAATTAAAACGAACGCTTTGACTTTGGGGGGGGGGCGGTTCACCCCAGGTGTGGGGGGGGGGGTTTACCCCAGGTGTGTGGGGGGGAGGTTCACCCCAGGTGTGGGAGCGTCATTAGTGCCGAAGCCCGCACTCTACCTGGTGATGATTGTACTATAGTACTACTCGGGCGAGATTGGAGCATGTCGCTTTTTATATATCCATCTTTCATTTTCCCTTTCTCTTTCTTTTGTTTGTCACCCTGTCTCATTATCTCTGTCTTTCTCATATGTGTACACTGACCGTAAGAGAGAAATAGAGAAAGATATTGTTGACCAGACCACACACTAGAAGGTGAAGGGACGACGACGTTTCGGTCCGTCCTGGACCATTCTCAAGTCGATTGTGTACTCGGAGAAAGATATAGAAGGGTGGGTTGAGAGAGCACCCGCTAAAAGACACAGATAGAGAGAATCAGATAAAACAATGACACGGATAATAGAATAAAACACAGAGCACAAAAATGGGCGTGTGTAAGAGAGAGAGAGAGAGAGAGAGAGAGAGAGAGAGAGAGAGAGAGAGAGAGAGAGGGAGTGTGTAAGTATGTGTTTGTACTCACCTAGTTGTACTCGCCTAGTTGTGCTTGCGGGGGTTGAGCTCAGGATCCTCGGTCCCGCCTCTCAACTGTCAATCAACTGGTGTACAGAGTCCTGAGCCTACTGGGCTTTATCATATTTTATTTAAAACTGTGTATGGAATCAGCCTTCACCACATCACTGCCTAATGCATTCCATCTGCTAACTACTCTTGTTAACTACCTGTTAACTACTCTGACAACAACGCGCGTGTGTGTGTGTGTGTGTGTGTGTGTGTGTGTGTGTGTGTGTGTGTGCGTGTGTATGTGTGTGTGTGTGTGTGTGTGTGTGTGTGTGTGTGTGTGTGTGTGTGTGTGTGTGTGTGTGTGGAAAGCAGTCTT